GGCAGCAGCACGTTACAGCCATGAATATTCGATAAAATTGAAATTTTTACATAAAAACTGTTTCACGCGGGAAAGAACCGAGAAGGCTATAGTCATAACTAAGAACCGAAATTCTCGCCACTGAAAAAGGGGAATTTTGACTGTGCAATGTTGTTTTTATTTTTTTGATATCAGCACTGAATAAAAAGTTATTCCAGTTTGAAAAACGCAAAAATAAAAAATTTTGAAACAATAAGAACTTTTTTGTATTAGTGATATCGAAAAATTAAAAACAACGTTGCACAATAAATGTTCTCTTTATTGCGTGGTTAAAATTTCGTTTCTTAGTTATGACTGTAGCCTTCTCGGTTCTTTCCCGCGCGAAACGGTTTTCACGGACGAATTTATACATRTGTAGCGTCTTCTTAATGTTAAATTATAAAGGTATTTAACACTAATGATATAGATGGGTACTTACAATACAAAAATACCCTGTACTATGTAGGCTTATAGCAACTGTCTATTGTATTATTATTTAGGGTGGCCTAAGTCCTAGTCCTTCGTCCCGATGATACTGGTTTGCGCACAGTACACAATTTTTTACCTGTAAACTGACAACTCGTTTGCGTACATTGAAAAAGGTGAAAACCTGGTTAATATTAATTTCGACCTGAAAAATGACTACTCGTTTGCGTACAGTTATTAAATTAGACTTATAGAACAAATTCCGATAAGAAACACGTAATTGATTAACTAGTGTACGGTTCTAAGCGTCAATTATGGACGGTCGTAAGATATTGGTTGACAGCGTGTTACCGTCCGCTTTTAGCTCTGTTTTCGGCTGGGTTTTAATTTGTCAAGTGTTCGTTCATAAGATCGGCCGCTACATTCATTGCTAATTTTGTTGACTGTGTCTATTGAGAGTCTTATGGATAAATTTTGGCATATTGAGGAGCCGGATGTAACCTCTGCAACGTTCACTAAAGATGGGCGGTGTGAACATGGTTCAAATTCAAATATTCATGGCTGTAACGTGCTGCTGCCTATGGTCGTTGCGACAGCGAATACGATTTCTCCCACCACGATAAAATTATAGTAAAACACTGAAGCTGTTCTATTAACAATTTCACCCCGAGATATTTCCGACCATAACTTGAGTGTTATTTATAATGAATCTGAAGATGGTGTATCATCTGAAAATACTACAACTACTGAGTAAGTGTTTTGAATTACGATCGACTTGTTTTTATAATTTATTAAAGCACAATTTTTATATCTACATTTATATTAGAAAATTAATAAAAATAGACATAAAAAAGAAAATGGAAACTTTCAATTTTCTACAAATAGCTCAAAAAAGTTAAAATATTATTAAAGTTGTACGAAAACTATTTTGTAGTTAAACATTCTTAAAATTTGTAATATTCATACCCAAGACAGTAATACAATTCGAAAATGTAATACTCAGTTCCTAAGTTTTCTTCAGAATTCAATATTATATAAATATATGAAATTTTGCAATTATTTTTTTATTTTCGTTTATAGTGAAAATAGACAATGAAAACAGTATAATGTATATATTATATTATATGTATATTATATATTATTATATATATTATATAACCAATTAACCATCATTAGTATATTAGGCGAAATAATTTTATATGTACTGTATCTGAAAATGATAATATGTATTTCTTTACACATTTATAGTGTTCTGTTTGGTCGTCGAATCGTGGATATAAAGTTTGTATTTGATCAAATATTGGCCAATAAAAACCAAAATCATATAAAAGGATTTGATTGTTCTTTTATTAACTCTGAATTTATTAAAGAAACACGTAAAGGATTTCAATGCTCATGGATTTTTAAATGTAAAATGTGTAACCTTGAAACAATAATTCAATCAGATATCGACGACAACAACAAAATACCAATCAATAAAGCAGTGGCAAATGCATCTATTTCAGTTGGAATTGGCTATAGTCAAGTTAATGAGTTTTAGGCTTCTATTGATGTTCCAAGTATGACTAACTCATCGTTTATAAAAAAATTGTAATAAAATTGATGAAGTTGTCAACAAAAGTGCTTGGGAACAAATGAGACTGGCTGGTTTGGAAGAAAAAAAACTAGCTTTAGAACGAAACGATGTTGATACAGATGGTATTCCAATGTGTCCTGTAGTGGCAGATGGACAGTGGGGGGAAAAGGAGCTTTAAAACAAAATATGATTCATTATTGGGAGCGGCAATTTTTATTTTTTGAATTTCAATAAAATTTAGGTATATGCCAGGGGTGTCATTTCAATTTTTTTTTATTGTTGCTGACAAAATGTTGGGATTTGATTTTAAATTAATTACGATCATAGGTATAAACTGACTAACTATAGACATTTTAAAATGACACATTAGGTATATAACAAAAAAATACCTATAAAAACAGTTTCTAATATGTTCTAATGCATATTTATCATTTTAGGCAACAATTATTGGATTCCATACTTCTAAAGTTCTTTTTTTCGGTATAAGATTTCGGTGTGAGCGAAGTAAAACTTTATATCAAAAATCAAAAGAACACGAATGTTTTATGAACCTGAAAAAGTCTTCTACTTGTATGGAAGCAGATGGCATTGCAGAGGGTTTTTTAAAAAGCATAGAGTTACACGGTCTCAAATTCAATCGATTAATTGGTAAAAAAAATGTTATAAAAACAATATATATATTAGATTTTTTAATTTAAAATCATGTACATTGTAATTGTACAAAGTATAATATTAAGTGCAGATATGTATATATATATATAAATATAGACGACAGGGATAGCAGCGTTACAAAACGGCTAAAAGAAGTTATTCCTTATGGTCCTACAAGATTAGTGGAAAAAATAGAGTGTAGAAATCACTTACTTCGTAATTTTAGTACCAAAATTTCAGCAATTTCTAAAAATACAAAGTGTACCCTATTTTGTTGAGATACTTTATTACAGCCAATATCATCATATTCCCTATAGCAATTCGAAAAGCAATTAAGTATCGAAAAAATTTGAAGGTACCAGAGCATGAAAAAATATCAGGTACGTAACCTATCTATTTATAAAAAAGTACTTCTTAAATGCTTTGTTATTATTAAATTTTAGGTCTTGTATTGGATATCAGCAATCAGTGGCGCCGAACTTCTAAAAATATACTCAGGCCAAATGAAAATACAACGGCCCCAAGCCACCCAGCRGCCACAAGCCTACTCCGTCCCCTGCGTCCTTCCATCAATTCGAGCACAGGTTAACTCCTTATCCGGAATCTCCCAATATGTTTGCTTATATTGTTAATATATAATGCAATTTGTTAATAACTTTTACATTCCATAAATATCATATTTTAATATAATATCTAATTAGTTACTAAATGTATAAATTAATAAATATTACAACTGTTAAAATRAACTACAGAATTTGCCGGTATGTATTGGTAATAGATATATTTGCAATAGGATATATAATATTAATAACAATAAAATACATTTTAGTGATTTTATTATGAAATAAGTTTCATATAATCATAAGTTATTACTTGTTAAGTATGTGAAATTGTTGTTTGACTATATAACTTAGCATCTTGGAAAATGTCAGAAAAAGCATCATCAGTACGAAGTTTTTTTATCCTGGTTTCTGTTTTTGTTAAAAGACTTACAGCAGCTAGTA